CGCCACAACGTCCAAAGGTGGCATATGTAGCACTCCAGGATTAACATTCTTTGTTCCTAAAATGGCTTTTAAAATGTTGCCACTGTTCCGCAGGCGGTATTGAAAGTTTTACACTCAAAACCTGAGAATTTTATCCAGATGCTTACTCCGATTGTAAGTAAGACTGTCAACCATTGGAACAGTGATTCATGGGGGCTCACCAGGCTTATGGAGTTTTACCAGGTCATATGGCTTAGGCATTCTGCAGGTGTCTACCGTCGGGGTCAAACTGTTTTCAACGTTCTCCTTGAGCTTGACTTCCAAGTCCTTCGGATGTAATGCATTCTTAAGCAGATTCCTGATCTTTTGGAACCAGATAGCGTTTTTCCGCTCCATTTGGTAGATGGCTGCAGATAGTAAAATAAGGTTTCTTTCCTTGATCTTTTTCCTAACACTTCGCAATCCTTCCAGATGATGCACGGACAGATTTGATCCCGATGGGTTCTCCTGTCATTTTAGCCGAAGACTTCATGAATTATCTTCCATTGCACTGCCAGTGCAATGAGTCCAGTACCCTTTCACTCTGTCCACCTTAAACCTACACCGTAATCAAGTATGTAGAGGATATTCTGCATAATTATCGTAATTATTTTCACCTGCTCAATGAATATTTAAATATTTAAGATCCTAATAATATAAAATTCTCTTCAGAGCATGAACAAAATAACCAAATGGCGTTTCTTCGTATTCTCATTAAACGACACGCCACTGCTACATTCTCCTTCGCAGTATGTAGAAAACCATAGCATTCTAACCGCTTGACTTGTTGACTTTGTTGACTTGCAAACAGTAAAGACAACATGGTTGTTTCATACTGTCAACCAGAATATACAAGATGTAGGATCATACTGCCAGATGCGCGCATTCAGCAGCCGCAGTTCTCTTCGACTCACCTGCTAGCAGACTAGCCAGCAAACAAACCAACAAAGTGTATAAAATTACAGTATACATTTGCTTGTAATGTAAATTGAAAAGATTTTTTTATGCCAACTGCCTTCTCTTTAGGAATCTTGTCAACTTATTTCTAAGCCGTACCGGTGCTCCAGTGGCTGAGTCGGCTGAACTGCTGAGAAGTGTCAAACATCTCGTCTCGGCGTCGCTCATCGATCGATTCTCGGACGACTCCGAAAATGTAATTTTTGGAACAGTAGCTTCCTTTCGCTGTTGTTAAACTATATCGCAAACGGCTCCGCAGTTATTCGTCGCTTTTAGGATGCTCATGAATTCCTGGTGCAGCTGTTTTCGCGTCTTTACGATGAAATCGTAGATCTGAATCGCAAGGCTGGCGGAGACTCGTCTAATGACCCGATAAAGACCAATTTCGAGTTCACTATATGTCATTATATCCAGTGCACTAAGTAAGTTTATGTATTAGGTATTTCTGCATCTCACAGACCTCGGGATGAACAAGCGGACAGATACCTTTGGCAATCATTGTAGCGTATCTGTATAGGTTTTTGTGATCATTACTTTTGACTAGTGGTACCCCTGATTACCTTATATACCAAGGTTCTCAATGAGTTGAGGGGGCGCCGTC